GGGGGGAGGAGTGATAATGATATACTTAACTTACTGGGTTTGTACAATTGTGTTGAGGCCTGCACAGATGTGGATTCACACATTTGGGAAGGTGAGTCTTGAGCGGGGTATTCAGGATTAGTGTGGGTCTCCTGTAGCTTCTGGGACAACAGCTCACTTCCCGGGCATTGATACTCAGCTTCACCTGGGCGTACAGTGAGATGAGAGTGGAATCCTGTTGAGAATCTAAGTGTGTGGTGCTTTCATGGTGTGTAAGGTTTGTTTCGTTGTAATGAAAGATGTCCAGGTTTGCTGCTCACTGATCATGTCAATTAGGAAAGAGACAGATAAGATTTCTAAGACATTTGACTCAACATAAGGGCTTTTAATATCTTGCTCTCCCTGATTAGAACGGAAACGAAGCAGGGGAAGATGCAAAGAAACGTATGTAGAAAACCCGAACAGACGGCTGACAAGATAATGTAACATTTTTAAGAACATTCGAACACAAAAATGAATGGAGCCAATTTCTGTTTCATCTTTGGCACTTTGTTGTGGTTTGTTGTGTAGAAATTTATGAGCGCTTTCTTGAGTCAGATGGATGCAGATGTTGAAACATTACGCTCATGATCTCAGATCCAAATTTCGATTGATAGAAAAACTGACAAAGAATTTTAATAAGATATACGCAACTTTTAGGCAAGAAAACGTAGTATTGTGTTGCAAGTGCAGTAAAACTTCTATTAAAACTAAAAACAAGTCCCAATGAGAACATTCGGTGGGTGTTGGCTGGGGTGTGTCTTAAGCTATACGTGATAACTCTTGGTAGTGGCGACGCGCCGTGGCGCTTTTGTAAGATGTTTGTATTGGCGTAACAGTATTGGGTATTATGTGATACTGATGAGTTTTATGTAGGTGTTGCATTCGCAATTAAAACCCAAATTTAATTTGCATTATGTTTCTAAGGGATATTTTCCTTTTAACCATTACTTAAAGTAACAGGATTTGTTCATTTACCTGTCATAGTGTCTTCAGCCTTCATCCTGGACTCAGACTTTTGGATCATGACGTCAGTTATAGTTCCAACCAGACAAAGAAGGCCAAGAACAAGGAACACAACTCTGCAGGAATGTTGAGAGAGATACCATGATAATAATATGTACTTTTTAAATCTTTCGTGACATTTTACTCCTTCAATATTCTCTATACTATAATTCTAGTGGTGAGTGGTTTGCTTGTGGAGAACACTGGTGTCATATCACGACGAGTACATTCGTAGTTACCTCGACACTCTCCTCAGAATACAAGAAAAAATAATCATATCTTTTTTTCACCAGTCAACCATTTCCTCTCTAAAAGAACAAAAAAGGATTTACAAAAAACCAAGTGCTTGCGAAATCGTCCAAATGTTTTCTTTTTTTTTTCTCGAGAAAATGAATCCCTTATTTCGAGACAGAATTACGCTTTTATTGGCAATCTCCCAGATTTATCGTTGACACAAGTTGTGTAGGAAGTAGAATGTGAACTATGCCGAGCCTTGGACAGTACGCTTCTCTAGAATTATAAAGTTTTATCTGCTCAGTAATTATTTTTGAGATCTTTGACGTCAAAGATATTGAGCTTCACATCATCTCAAACTTTTTTTAAAACAATTTTTTGATTATCTAAAAAACGACTCCGAATAATCTTTCGATTTTGGTCGAGCAGATAGAACATTTGATTTCTGACCTCGTGTTCTTTGTAACTCAACGCAACCAAAAGTGTCAGATAAAACTTTGTAATTCTAAGGTAGCGAGCAGTTTGAGACACATAAAATTTAGTGATAGCGTGCACAGAGTCGTTCTCTGAGTAAGACAGTTGAAGGAATGACGGAGGTGGCAGTTTCGTTGGTCCAGACGGACAGACATACAGAGAAACTGACACACAGAAAGACAGACTGTCAGATATCCACAGATAGATATTGGATATATATGAATATAATATATTTAGTATTGTTAGGTACGTAGACAGATAGGTAAGCAGAAAGACATTAGACATTAGACAGACAGACAGACAGACAGACAGACAGACAGACAGACAGACAGACAGACAGACAGACAGACAGACAGACAGACAGACAGACAGACAGATAGATAGATAGATAGATAGATAGATAGATAGATAGATAGATAGATAGATAGATAGATAGATAGATAGATAGATAGATAGATATGGAAAGTGCAGCTGGAATACTCACACAGAAGCGATGAAAAGTGAATCTTTCCATGGCTGTCTCTTGGTAATAATCTCCGACTCCGTCATTTTCATACTAAGGCGATCTGAATGTGAGAAATACAGAGTTGTGTAGTCTTTTACTTTTGATCTCGCAATTTCAATTTACTTAATGACCTGGTAAGCGTCATTTCAATTCGTTGGAAAATCTGACAGCTCCTCTGTTACCAGATTCATTAGTGAACAGTGGGTGGGGACAACTACTTTTATAATACAAACGCCCACCAATCACACACACACATGCACACACATACTCATATACACCCATACACCCATACACAAACACACACGCATACACACACACACACACACACACACACACACACACACACACACACACACACACACACACACACACACACACTCCAGCGCCGCCACCACCTCCACCACCTCCACCACCACCGCCTCCACTTTGGAAACATTTTGATTTGATTTCCATACATCGCACGAAAAAATGTTACCCTAGACGTAATGTACACCTTATTTGCTGCGCCATTCTATAGACCCTTAAGAAAACTTTTCAATTAAAGATAAAGGTAAACTTTAGTCCCCCCCCCCCCCCCCCCATACGGAACTGACTTGACGTACTGCGTATGCCTGGGATCTCCACTCCCAATGGGGCCACATTGTGGTCGCCGTGACATCCTACGCGACAGACACTTTTAAATAATTCTTAGATATGGGGATCCAGCTATACTTACTACCAGGGCTTCGTTAACTAAGTGCGGGGCCCTAGACTGTCCATGAGCCGCGGGGCAGGCCCCTCGATGACGTTGATGCTACTACTACCGCATTGTAACCCCGTACTGATGGAAAGCTATACTGTAAAACGTGATTACATGTAGGCCTACCGGTATCCATCAATAATGAGGATTAAGACGACGACAAGCGCAGAATGTTATAGTTTTCGGCCTAGCACCTAGGGGTAGTCAAAAGACAACTTCGGAAAACACATCAGCAGCAGCCACAACAACAGCAGCAGCGGTAGTATCAATATCCTTCTCATCGACATCATCAAGAACGACAACAACTGTAAAAACAACAGCAATACAAACAACAAAAAACAACAACAATTCAACAAGAGGACAATTTGTTTTGTTGAAAAACATATTTTAAACGTCGTGTTTGCAAGCGCGGGGCCCCCTGAGGTGGGGGGCCCTAGGCTACAGCCTAAACAGCCTTACGGGTAGCGCGGCCCTGCTTACTATCTTCTTGAGAGGGGGAAATATTGTCAGTGTCTTTTTAATTTAATAATAAAAATCATAAATTATAATATCAAATAACAAATAGCATAATTTGTATAGCGCATAACCCCGCTCTACAGCAAGCTCTATACTCTTTACACTATGATATTAGTATTACCCCAACAGACCATAGAACACTCAGAAAATATTCTCAGCTTCCTGGGAAGCATACTGTGCAAGCAGCTGGCTGATAAAACTCTCAAACACAAGCAAACAGACAAGATCTTTCACTGTCTATAGCTGGGTACCCGTTTCCACGTGGGGGAAGAGAGGAAAATTCGTGTAAATTGACCATGGACACAACGTCGGGCCCCGGACGGGATCGCACCCACGACCTTACGGTTGCGAATCTGAGAGCCTAATCACTAGGCTACCGATGTTATTATAATATAGATAAATTTATACAGATAGATATTTTTATTGCAGTTTCTTAATTTGTATGTGATATCGGTGGCATAATATACGCAAAGAAATATTTTGTCGAAATTCAAATTCAAAATGTTTAAAAAGCCAGACAAAATTATCTAATGTAGTAACAAGTGTTAAAAAGAACGAAACAGTTTTTCTCTCTTATGAAAAATAAATTGCTGTCTGGGGCTTAGTACGGTACATCTATGCAGCTTTTCTACGTTTTAGCTTCTCCAGTCAAAGTTTAATACCCTGGCAACCGGACCCATAATCGTGCGACTGCGGGTTCGGGGGTTCGAACGTCAACTCGGTCCAACGTTGTGTAATTCTGGAAAAGGCACGTTACACGAATTTCCCGTTAGACTCGGTCCTTACAGAGATGGACGTTAAACTTGGAGGTGCCGCCTCTTACTCGTAGTTTAGCTAATAGTGCTGATAGGGACGTTAAACCTATTCCATTTTCAAAGTTAAATACATAAACCTCACTTCCTAATTCGCGCCCAATGGAGGCCACGTCCTGGTCGGAACACCCTGAGGGGAGACACAGCTGCCAGTTGATGAAGGGAGGTCCACTCCTCTGGTACGGCTGTGGACGGGGGAGGGGTGGAAAGAAGAATTGCTAAAAGCAAACTGTAGGTCTCTATTCAGACCTTACTACGCATTTATTGGGTCTCTTATGCCGTGTGGACGCATAAGGGTCACCGTAAAGTCATGCACAAAAAACACTTTTAACTCATGTTAAGGTGGGGGGAGGGGGGAGGGGGGGGGGGAGGGGGGAGAGAGACTTTTTGTGTGAGAGTGAATGTTTGAGTACGCTCAGAAATATATTTCCTGTGAAATAAAAAGAGAAAAATAGAGAGACAGCGAGACAGACACACGAGAGAGAGAGAGAGAGAGAGAGAGAGAGAGAGAGAGAGAGAGAGAGAGAGAGAGAGAGAGAGAGAGAGAGAGAGAGAGAGGAGAGGATGGGGGTGGGGGGGGTGAAGAGACAGATAGCAAGGTAAGAGAGGCTAAAAGAGAGAAAAAGAAACAGCGAACGCAAACAAACGTACGACAACCACAACATACGCTAACAACTCACCACCTCTCCAGCCATACTGGGCACGGGAAGGTCGATGAAAAACCTGTACCTGACGAAACTTCCCCCAATGACGTAACCGGAACTTGTGCGACCTGCGATAGCCACACACTGGTCAAAGTTGCCCACCAGGTAAGTGTTCCCTTGTAGGACTCCTGTCATTGGCTTCCCCATTGCGTCAATGACTGGAATGTTGAAAAAGAGTACTCAAAAAAATAATAATAAATAGCATTTGTACAGCACATATCCCCGCTCAACAGCAGGCTCTGTGCGCTTTTAACTATGTTATTACCCCAGCAGACCATAGAACACTCCGAAACATTCTCAGCTTCCCGGGAAGCATACAGTGCAAGCAGCTGATTAAGTGCTCAAACACTAACAAACTGACAAAATCTTTCGCTGTCTATAGCCGGGTACCCATTCCCACCTGGGTGAAGTGAGGAAAATTCGTGTAATGTGCCTTTCCCAAGGACACAACGTCGGGCCTCTGACGGGATTCGAACCCACGACCTTACGGTTGCGAGTCCCAGAGCCTAACCACTAGGTCACCGACGCCACTGTTAACAACATCTATATGATAAACACCAAGCAGTCTAGCAAGCACATAGCGAAATCGGCGGGCACCCAATTTTTTTTACGATTTACAAATTTCACTATGAGTATATTATACGAACTTCAGCCAATAGCCTATCAACTGAGATTGGCAACGTTAGACAATAATGGGTTAAAAGTTTACATGAATTTTACCCCACACGACTTGGTAAAATGCATGTCCAGTTCTCTGTCTCTTAGATTTGTAGATTTATGTTTCTGTCATTGATGTTTTATTTGCATAATAATATATGTATATCAGCCGTTTTCCATTGACCAAAAAGCAATTCTGCTTCTTTTTCTCTGCCATGGTCCATTCTCTACTTCATTGCACTGTAACACTTTTTTTTTCAGAGCACTTGCATGCTACATCAAAGTGCGTAATATCTGTTGAAGAAGAAACGCTCTGACAAACGTGCCGACAATGCCACATCTGCTCGCTGTGTGCATGTTTTCGCTATGTGTGTATGTTCTTTATGTGCGTACTAGAGTGTATTATCAGAACTGATGTTTTGGTAAAAACTCTTGTGCGCTCATATGACCTTATGCAGTTGTGAACGCCGTAAAATCTCTACTAAAATTATTTTAAAAAACAAGTCTTCTTTGATGTTATGTTATAGGTTTTCGTTGATGCACACAAAGACCTTGAGTTCGATATTCGTGTAGGTAATTATCTCATCATGTATGTCCCTCTCTGTGCTACCATGCTTCACCCCACCCAGCCGGGCTGGCATTGACCGGTAACAGCGGAACAAAGCGCCTTCTTTAAGTCTGAAGTATTTCGTGTGCGTGAAACTAAGAAATCAAAACTAACAATCTCCAACACATGAAACAATGTTTAAGTTGAAAGTTCAAAAGCAGTGTAATAATAATAATAATAACATGAACTATTTCAGTCAGACTTTTATTTCATTTAGGGAAAGAAAGAAAGAAAGAAAGAATTACACAGAACCTACATTTCTTTTTTTTTTTTTTTTGCATTTGAAAGAAAAAAAAGAAAAAGAAAAGAAAAGAACAGATGAAAGAAAGAAAAACCTACAGGTCAAGGCCCATGGCTCAAAGTTGGTCAGTCCAAAGGCGACAGCCGCACGTTCGTTAGCACAGCGCTGTGATGTCTTGTAACTGGTGCTGAAGATTTGGGTCAAGGCAATTACTGCGTCCGTGACCTGAAGAACTGGCCTGTGGTGGGAAAAAGCATGCAGTTTTTTGCATCATCTCTCTCTCTTCTCTCTCTCTCTCTCTCTCTCTCTATCTCTCTCTCTCTCTCTCTCTCTCTCTCCCTCTCTTGCTCTCTCTCTCTCTCTCTCCCTCTCTCTCTCTCTCTCGCTCTCTCTCTCTCTCTCTCTCTTCTCTCTCTCTCTCTCTCTCTCTCTCTCTCTCTCTCTCTCCCTCTCTCGCTCTCTCTCTCTCGCTCTCTCTCTCGCTCTCGCTCTCTGTCTCTCGCTCTCGCTCTCTCTCTCTCGCTCTCTCTCTCTCTCTCTCTCTCTCTGCATGTATGTGTGTATGTTTATGTGAGTGTGTTGTGTGTGTGAGTGTGTGTAGGTGTATGTGAGTGTGTGTGTGTGTATGTGTGTGTGTGTGTGTGTGTGTGTGTGTGTGTGTGTGTGTGTTTGTGTTGTCGAACAGAGGACAGACCGCCTTAAACTAGATCCCCATGTATTAGATGTTATACACTATGTCATTGTAAAGTTGAAAAAAAGCGCATAGGAGGAAATGGGAAGTGGCCGTTTGTACAAGTGATTATCTTTTACATTTTTGTACATGTCGTGGTCGTTGGAGCAGGTTTAGCTACATTATAATCAAAGAGAGTGTATATATATATATATATATATATATATATATATATATAATAAAACATATCTGAGGGGGTCGAGAGACACCAAAAGAGAGAGAGAAAGAGAAGAGAGAAAAAAGGAGGGTGAAATATAGAGAGAAAGAGAGACACGGAGAGAGAGAGAGAGAGAGAGAGAGAGAGAGAGAGAGAGAGAGAGAGAGAGAGAGAGAGAGAGAGAGAGGAGGGGGGGGGGAGTTGAGCTTTCAACATTTACTTTTTAGAAAGTAGTATTACACTTTTTTCCTATTGTTCTTGAAACAACAAAAAATTAATCTAGACTTCAACAGGCTGCAATCTATTTAAGGGCAAGATGATATGCCTTGAAATCTTCCTGGGCGTTATTTTTTTATATTATTATTATTTCATCTGTATCAAATTGTTTAAGTTGTTCAAACGCTCCACGTGAGGTGCATAACGGTTAGATCATTTCGCCGTCGCAAGCAGAAAACGGATGTTCGATTCCCGTGGAGGGAGGATTTTCTCGAGTAGATACGTCTGTCTTCTTGGGCGTTCTCTGTTTGTTTGAGGACAGAAAAGCTCATCAACACAATAACTGTCATTCAGTGCAAGGAAAAAGCAAGACAAGTCGACAGACAAAAACAGAGAGAAAAAAAAGAAGCAAGATCTATACTGTGGCCCCCTCCAGCCACCCACCCTGGGACGTTGTATCCCTCTCAGCCTGAGGTGGCACTGACCGGCAAGGTCTAAGCAACCTGCCGTCTTAAAGATTTATATTTTGTTGAGCGGTATTATGTTTAACGTCCGTGGTTACATTGTAATGTTAAAGGCGGGAACTTCCCAAAAGATCGAGCCATATGAAGAATTTCTGGAAAGTGTTTATTCCTCAGGATATGGGCGTCGAACCCACAATCTCACAATTACGAGTCCGTTAGCCTAACTATTAGACTACCAACGCCACCACCTGACCTGACCTTCAATAATGTATTTATAGAGGCACCAGCCACCCATGCCCATGTGCTGTTTTAGCCTTTTTCTCCTTTCTGTGGATTGATTTGAAAACATTTCCAATTTGGTTCCATTCCCATGCACCCTGTATCCATGGTTTTCAGCCCGGAACACGTCCATTTTGTCGATCTACGATTACTATCGAGGGATTTGCGCTGGAAGGATTGAGAAAGCGAAAAAAAACCTTAGTTTTGAGCTAGATCTTAAAACATGAGATTGGCTCATGCCGAGTAGGGATTATTTAGACAAGGGGGTTTCCCAATATCCAATGCCTGTTTACCTAAACTCTCTACTGAAATAAGTCTATAAATGTTTCATTTTGATTTTTTTTTATGACACAACCTTTATCTTTATTTTTCGCCTTTGGAAGTTTTGACATTCCTTCCCGTTCACATTCAAATTCTCTTGTTCTTCCTGTTTTTATTTTTTGAACTTTACAAAATGATTATTTATTCCATTTGTCAATGTTCCTTTATTATTTTATGAGTACAATTTTAAAATTGTCAGTGCTTGAGGCAAAATCACGACCCAAGATCGTGCGTAACTAAGACGTTTATAGAATTAAACATGCAAACTGGAACTTAAACAGTCGTTTTTCTCGGATTTTGAGTTGTTGATTTTGTTTTGAATATTAAAGCCATTTTTTCCATAATTTTGGCTCTAGAACTGATATCACTCTAATATTAAAGTGAAAATATACCCAGGATAGTCCTTACAATATGATGGTACAGTAGCAAAATATCCAAATGTCCAGAAGATGATTTATTCCCATTTCTTTCAGGTTGCCTCACAAAAATAAAGTAACACAAACAAACCAAAATAAAACACACAAAAACTTCACTTCTCGCTAAGTGCGTTTCTGAGATAATATTAATATGCGATTAAAATAAGTGAGAGAAATCTAGTTTTGTCAAAAATCAAACGTATGCATCATTTGTACTGTTTCTTATTGAATCAAACATCTGCAAAATCAGTGTATGAAAATGCTTATCAATTTTTTTGTTTCCTTGGCTCTACCCTAACTCTAACAAATAGTCATCTTTGATTTTAAACAGCCTCAATTTCTCTGTTGTGGGTTTTCCTTTTCCTGTGTAATTAAATGTGAGGCAGCGTGGTGGAATCAGGCTCTCGTCAAAATAATCAAAGTGAAGAAACTTGCATTTTTCTGCGGGTTTGTGAAATTTAATCAAATTGTTGTTTTTGGGCTCAACACCTTTCATGCTGATTAAAGAACTAATTTCTGTGTGGGTTTTTCTGAAAAACGTTGATTAAAGGCACAAAAAAGGCAAATTTTCAGTTTCCACGGACTCTTAAGGCAAGGAAATAAGTAATCTTTGGCGGCCATTTTCTCACTAATTTTACCTCTGAAAACAGGTGACCCCCACCTCCTTCTTTCGCAAATATCTCGACTTGTATAAAAGGTAAATGGATATTTCTTCCATCCAAATAAAGAAAAGTGAACAAGCTTTAAGATGAAACCAATAACTCTACATGCCCAAAAATTGACGAGAGCCTGATTCCACTACGCTGCCTCACTAATGGTCAGAACTGTTTAACTGTTGAAGATTTAGCATGAAATAAAGTGCAATAAATTTACTTTAGAAAGTGTTTTTAATAAAAAATATTAAGTGCATATTTTATTATGCAAATTTTGACCCAAGTGAAAGTTTTTCTTCTACCGCTACACATAGCTATTCTCAAACGTACGTGACCGTGTCAGCGATGGTCTTCAACGTCTGAGCGGGCACCACTCTGGAGATGATGGAGTCGTTCTGGGCAGCCACGTTGATGAGTCCACTGACCACTGTCATCGGGTCAATCTCGATGACCTCCATTAATTTCTGTAGGACGTTCTGGAACAACACCTGACCCAGAATGATCAAGGCGGAACCAGGGTTCGGCACTACAAATTTCTGGATGACCGAGTTTGTTGGGCCTGCAACTAAAGCTTGTACTTCGGGTGCTGTGTTATTGACTGCTTCATCAGTTTCTGAATGTACAGAATCATCCTCATTCACTTTCCCCTTGGAGTTTTCTCCATTACCAGAGGAACTTGACATTTGACTTGGTAAATTTTTTAACAATTCAAAGACGTTATCGACACTGGGTATCTCGCGAGGTTTTCCGTCGGAGAACATATTAAGGATGTCCCGCTGAGCATCTCCATGTGATCCTTTATTGTCCGTGTTATTTGAAGTGTCAACGCGGTTTATCTGATCGGAAAGTTGTCTGAAAAACGGAGACGATGTCAAAATGTCAACTAATGCTCGGACGTTTCTGATCTCAGACTCAGAAATTTTCGGGATTTGTCTGAGCAGTGATTCTAGGGCTTGCCAGTTTTGAAGGAGATTGACGGATTGTGTAAGAACAAGGTTTGGCAGAGGGTACGTTAGAAACTTTTGCACGACGTTCATGGCGTTCTTCCTATATGTGGTGGTTCTGTTCTCGATATACTTCCCAATCATAGACACTGTTTTAGTCATTGATTGGTTGACGTTCTGGATTCTCTGTAAAGCTCCTCCTACAATGTCACTAAGGACATTTTGGTCGAAAATGTCAAAAGCGTTCCCAAAAGACGGGATCCTATTGAAAGAATTCTCAGAGATGACGGTTGATGGGAATAGCATTTCATCTGTAGTTATTGTAAACACGGTGCTGCTCCCGTTTGTAGCAGGCGTGGGGGGTACCCATAAAGTAGGAACCTGAGTAAACGTGTTACCGAGCTTTTCATCTCTGAAGACAAATCGCTGAAGCGTTGTTTCAAGTGTGTCCACCCACTTCTCCATCATTGCCCGCACTGGGGTCAATTCTGACCCGTTGAATGTATTCTTTATGAGGACTCGTACAGACTCTACGAAACCTTCAACTTTTTCCCTTACAGCTCGCGTGGTGTTAATCAGAATCTGAACTTGTGTTTTCAAAATGCTTTCAGCAAGCCTTTTCCGTAGATAGCTCCGAATAAAACCTGTCCCTTTCGTGACAAGGCTTGTGTTACTAAGGTCGTTAAGAATTCGGGTGAGAACTTTATCATTATTAGGACATCCCATGAATGTCATGGCAGAGTCAAGAATGACATTCGTGTGTGATGTGTCGGATTCGTTTCTCACCTCATCTTGCAACGATTCCTCCAGCGTGAGTCGGATTAAGCTACAACGGACTACTCCCTCCAGATCAGTGCTCACGGCATTCTGGCGGAAAACTTCGAACAGTTCCCCAACATCCTCTGAACTGAATGGTGTGGAAGCGTTTTTGCCCGTGTAATCTCGCACAACTTTGACAGCTTCCCTGGCGGTCTGGAGGAGGGCAGACAGCTCCGTCTCTGTGAGTGTTATTCCTGTGTCGTTCAGAGCCTTCTTCAAAATGCCCATGGCAACGTCGTCGTCAATGGCCTCATTTATATTTAGGATTTCTGATAAAGTAAATCTGTTCTGGTAGAGAAACTGACTAACTAAATCAAGCAAACTGACGGAATCTGGCAAATTTGCTGTTGTTAAGGCCGATTCGGTAAACATATCCAGATCTGACAGAATGTCTAGGAGGTCGTCTGCTCCTTTGGTCGTTTCGTCAAGGTTTCCAGACCTGAATAAATTGTCCAAAATACCCAAAAAGAACTGAACATTCTGCTGCAACCTGCCACCAGAAATTCCAGAAACTCTGCTCAGAAGGTCAGGGACGTTAAATGGTAGATTTTTTAACCCAAGGTCATTTCCTGCTTTGTTAAAATAGTTTTCAAGATCGTCCACAATGTCATTCATTTCTTTGTTTACATTAGCCATCCGTTCGTCTAGTGCTTGATCGCCCAAATCACCCACGACTTTCTTTACATCGTCTGGCAAAGCATCAATCAACTCACCACCGACATTCTTACCAGCTTCTAGAATATCGTTAAGTTTCAAGGTACCGTTGCTGCTTCGTCCATCATTGTCACTGGCATCATCCAAAATGTCTCTCAGAATGTCGATCTGTGTTAAAGCACAGGGCAAAACAACAACAGTGACAAGCATAAACGTCAGCACAAATGTTCCGTCAGGCTTCATTTCGATCAGTTTTACCGTCTCCTTTTTTCACTAGGTAAAAGTTTGTTTCAGAAGTCTTTTAAGAACTCTACTTTTGAAGTGAAAGCTGTTCAATATTTCAACTTTTAAAGTCCACAAACTGTACAACTTCTCTCCTCCACTGTTGCTACTCCGGCTTAAAATCAAGTTGTCTGTACTTTAAAATCCTTCAGTTTTGCGCCAGAGAAATACTCATCAGCACAAATTAGTCCATGGTCTTGTGAAGCATAATGTTTCCAAGAGATTCAACCAAGTCCCCAAGTAGTTACTTTCCATACGCCGCACCCACCATCTTGCTGGAGAAGCTCGCGACAGCTGAGTGCGCCAAAATGAATGTCTCTTGGTCTATAAAAGAAGGCATGTCGGCTGGAGATATCGTGCAAAAAGCGTTATGCTTAAATTCACGTTCCCACGACCGAGACGGGGAAGTCGGTGTCTTTGGGCTCTTACCCTCAGTATCCTACATTTCACACCCCACCACCCCCAGAAAGATAATCTCTCTCTCTCTCTCTCTCTCTCTCTCTCTCTCTCTCTCTCTCTCTCTCTCTCTCTCTCTCTCTCTCTCTCTCCCC